AGAAGGTACAGGGGGACCCGGGGGTTTGTGCAGGTGGGGTCCCATGCCGTGCGTAGGGGTGTTCCGTGTGCCGCACATGATGGCGGGCGACACTTTTGGCACACACACCCTCCAGTGGGAGGTACAGTGGGGGGCACGGCTGGGAAAAGACGCGGTGGACGGGGTCACACCCCCCTTCGGCCCCCCAAGGCCAGGAGGAAACTCCCCCCGGAAACTCTCCCCGAACAAGGTGCTCCGGCTTGTGATCTACGTGGAGGGGGAAGACGAGGAGCACATCGAGCCGCACCTGGTGTTCCAGATGTACTGCGAATTTGGTGAGACGGAGGGGATGGGGGGCTGGTGGTTGGGGGGACGGTAGGGGGGGGGGGTCGGGAAGAGTTGCTCTTCGCACCTAACAAGCAACATCGGCCGTCACCGACCAACCTCTCTTTTCGGTTACACGTGCAGTAGCCAGTTTTTCCTTCGCAACGTTACGCCAGTGTGGTTTCCGCTGCCGATTTCCCGCTCCCCCGCTTTTCCGCGTTCCCGTTCCTTCCTTCCTTCCGCCGCCGCCGCCGCCGCCGCCGCCACTGCCGCGTCGAATTTTTGAAGGGTACCGCAAGGTGCACCGGTTCTCTCTGCAGGACTGCGAGATCATGCACGCGGTGTTCGAGGGGGAGGGGGCGTCGCGTCTATCGTGCCCCCCCGTGCAGCTATCGCAGGTGATATGGCGTGGCATTTGTTTGTGTGTGTGTGTATGTGTGTGTATTTTGGCGCTGCTGTCGATCGATCAATACTGTGGCAGCTTACCCTATCGGTGAATTAGTTAGTTTGCAAGAACGACGAGCGAACCCTTTCTTTTCCCTTCCTGCACCTTTGAATGTGTAGCACTTCTTGTCTCAGATCTGTGTGTCTGTTGGCACCTACGTGACGGCAAATGTTAAAACGTTGCCCCCCCCCCCCCCCCCCCCCCCCGGAAAACCGGCGGGGTTTTTTTTTTTTTTTTTCGCCCCGGGGTTTTTTTGCCCCCCCCCCGGGGCCAATTTCCGGGAAGGGCGGAGGGGGGGGGGGGGCCTCCCCACAAGGAATTCCGGGCCCCGGCTACCCCCCCCCGGGGGAGAAGAAAAACCCCCCTTTAAAAATTTTAAGGGCCCGGCCCGGAAGAAGGAGGAGAAG